CACCCTAAAAACCCTAACCCCGAAACCCAAAAGCTTGAATCCCGAAACCTTTACACAAGCCCTATGCAACCTACGAGCCCATAAATGTTGCACACAATCCGTGTAGCGCGACATTGGTCTGGTTCCAACAAGTAAGCACCGTTAGCCACTAATGTACTTCCCTTCCTTCACACCAAACCCTAAACCTCTGCTAATCTAAACCCTGTACGAAAGCCGATTAAGGCACCATGCGAAGCCCATCAAGCCCGGTTTAGGGCTCAGGGTTTAGCGTCTGATTATGCAAAAGTTTAGGGTTTAAGGCCTGATTATGCAAAATACAGGCTGTAAAATCTCGGAGCCGTAAACCTCACACCCCAAACCCTTGTAAGACTCACATAGAGCCCTTCAGGAACCCTCCAAACCCTAGCCCTAAACGACACCCCCTAGACCTATAAGCCCAATTTCTAACCCTATAGTGATGTCCCAGAAAGTTAGAGCATGGACTTAGGATGATTGGTGCGGGGATGTCCAAAACTCCACCTTAGGGACAAGAGGGTATTCATGTTCCACCTTTCTGGCCCTAAACCCGAAACCCCAAACCCCAAACCCTAAACCCTAAACCCTCAACCCCAAACCCTATAAACCCTAAACCCTAAACCCGACATCAGAAACCCCAAAAGGAGCTCGAGTCCCTCGGCTGGAGCGCCACGCGGGTGCGAGCTGCCATGGTCCGCGAAGGACTTCTGAGGCTTGGCTGTGTATGGAGTTTAGGGTTTAGGGTTTAAGGTTCAGAGTTTAGGGTTTAGGATTTAGAGTTTAGGGTGTAGGGTATAGAGTTTAGGGTTTATGGTTTAGGCTTCAGGGTTCAGGGTTTTTGGGTATAGAGTTTAGGGTTTAGAGTTTAGGGTTTAGGGTCTGGTTGGGTGGATGTATACCTTAACCTACCAAAACCACTTTTTTGTAGTTTCTGGTTTCAAACCCGAATCTGGGAGTTATAGGGAACCTACAGAAAAGTAGGTTCTGGTGGGTTAAGGTAGAGTTTCTTGCTTTGGGGGATACCTTATCAAGTCCTAAATATATATTTGGTTAAACAAAAACAAGGAACTACAATGGAGACTACAGGTATGGTTCGTTGTTCTGCAAGGATTCTACGGGGTTTTGGATTGGGGAGTGGGCGGCGTGAGGACCTTTGGGTTTCGGCCTTGAGGTTTAGGGGTTTAGGGTTTAGGGTTTGGGGTTTAGGGTTTTGGGTTCAGGGTTGATGGTTTAGCATGGGGCCTAGTTTGGTCAGTTTGCTTACCTGCTGGGTTTGTTGCTTTTAGGGGGGTGTGCGGAGCACTGTATTTCTGATTGTCACAATAATGAGCTGTCGGCGGTTTGAAAGGGCCCGAAACAGAGCTTTTGTTTCTGGGTTCTGGAATTCTCACCATACAAAAACATTGGATGGTTATGTTTCTACGGGTGCCACAAGGGGAGCCTGTTTCGAACAACCCCTGGCAAAAGAATAGTATATCCTGGCCCTGTTATCAGTTTGTTTCTCTATCTCTCTCTTTCTCTCTCGCTCTCTGGGATGAAATGTTGACAAGGTTGTGAGCAATTGCTGCATACACGCGATTCGTCGGATTGGCTTAGTTCATGACCATCTGTTCACCAAGGAGTCCAGATGGCGCCTTGGAGTTGGACGGAGACGATCGCAAGGTGGAAAGCGCGTCCGGCTATGCTTCAGGCAGTGGTCGCAGACTTCGCGCTTCCGCCTGTCGCTCTCCGAGCTCTCGCCCCCTGGTCTCCATGCTGACGGCGTCCTGGCAAGTCAGTGAATTAGTGACCCTGAACCTTATAAGCCCTGAGCACTAAACCAAGGTTCACCAGAACTCTACTTTTGAGCTCAACCATGAGGGTTACTCCCTCAGGGGTCTACTCAAACCCCGTGCAAAAACCTCAAACCAAAAACCGCAAAAACACTAAGCCCTGTTAGGGTTCCAGGGCTTACATTCTAAGCCCTACAGCCCCTAAATCCGAAGGCCTTCGCAGCTTTCGCGGGACATCAGAACATCAGAGTCTTTCCTCGTGGTGGCGCAGCGGATGTTAGGCCTACGAAGCCCATCTTCCAGATGCGGTCCCTCGCCGTCGACAAGGAGTTTGGGCTTGAAAAAGCACTCTATATGGATTGTTTCATGGATCTGAAGGCGTTTTATAGGATTTGTGGTTTTGAAGCAAGGAAGCTAGGACGGCAACGGCCCTTTCAGGGTCTGTGTGCCCAGGTAGTTTGTGCTTAGGTACTTTGGCCGTCCAGGCGTTCGTACATAGGTCCTTTCAAGGCAGAGCATCTACTATGTAGCTACCTCGGGTTGAGCATATTAGCTACGTTGAATTGAGCCGTCACTCCGGTGCCCTGTGTGCACATGACGCCCAAGCCGAAGCAAAAACACCCTAAAGCCCAAACCCTAAACCCTAAAACCTAAAACCTAAACCCTAAAACCTAAACCCTAAACCCTAAACCCTAAACTCCAAGCTCTGCCAGGAGAATGGGTGCATTACCGGCGCCTTCATCTTCAGCAACCTCTTCGGCTGAGAGCGCTCTCAGACCTTGGAGGGAGCAGCGTTTTGCCCGGATTTTCCTAGGTAGTATTAGGGCTGTTTAGGGTTTAGGGTTTAGGGTTTAAGGTAGGGGACCCTTATGAACCTTACTTCTGGCTCTCTTAAAAGGGGCCTTATTAAGAGTGTTCTATATCGCCAAGGGTCCCCCTAATCCTACTCCCAGATTAGCACACGCTATCTTCTTCAAGGGCCCTAGAATTCAGATCCTGACTAGGGTTTAGGGTGTAGGGTTTAGGGTTTAGGGTGTTCTTAGTTGGGTTTAGGGTTTATAGGGCTTAGGGAAGAAAGTGGGGTTTATTGTTCAAGCTTCTACATCAGTCTTAATTGAGGCCGTTTGACGGTCGGCGCAAGAACCTTCGTCTAATGACAGTTCCAGCATTCTGGAATCTTGATTTAGAGCAGGCCTATAGACACAAATCACGCAGCGGCTAAAGCACTCTCATCGACCCCCCCCCCCCNNACACACACACACACACACACAACCAATGCCAAATTTAGATGTTACAGATGCTTACCTTCAGCTCTACCTGCCTTTCTCGGTGCCTTGAGGAAAAAAAGCCGGTGCTTCTCCAGTTACGGTCCATTTTCCAGTAATGTACGGCAAGGCTAGGGTCTTCAGCGTTCCTAACACTGACGCCGCAGATCCAACCCTCTAAACCACAGTGACTCCACAAGAAACATATTTAATTGGTAGTGACATCCCCTTACCGTTCCCGTTGGACTAACAGTATAATGGGCCCAAAACCCTAT